TTTTCTATATCACCCTTGCAACTATAAAAAGACATGATACATTAGTAGGTTCTTTCATAACTAAAAAGTCACATGTCTTGTTCAGTCCTAAAACAGAAGTTTCTCCACATAAATACAAAGATTGATGCACAGCATTGTTTCAAATAATGGTATGTTGGAAGTATTCAAAACACTCATCAACAAAAAATAGTTAAGGTATGGAGTATGCACACTGTGGGATGCAGTGCTGTTAAATTATATATATATATATATATATATATATATATATGCTGCATATTTTGTATAAAATGAATTGTGAACATGTGTACTTACATAAATGGTCACTAAAAGAAGAAAGTGAAAAAATATCAAAGGACAATTTAGGATAATTCTGTTAACTTTTAAAAAGATAAAATTTTATATATATATAAATAATCACAATGTCATGACATACTGGCATATATTACACACATAACTACATATATATGAAAGTTCTCCAGGAAAGTATGTCATTATTACTAGAGACGCCCTGATTAAAATGATTAGTAGGTAAAAAGTAAGAGGAACTTTGACATTTTACTGTATGTGCTTCTGTACTCCATGAAATTTTTATAATACATGACTTCAAATTACTTTGTAATTAAAAATATAAAATTTCAAAAAATAAATTTTATGCTTTGATTGATTATAACAGACAAACCACGCTTAGTATCTCACTGGGTTTTGCCTGTGCAGAAGTATGTGGAAGAATTTTAATGAGCAGTGAGGCTTAGTTTGGAATTTGACCCTGTAGCCTATTATAGAATGCCCTTCCTTTCTCACTTCTCATGGACAGTGTTTCTGGACAAATAAATGCTTTCCAGAGCAGTGCTGATGATCTCTTAGCATTACTAAACACTTATAATGTTCTTTTTGAGGGCATCACACAAAACACTTCTCTTGGTCCTCACAACAACCTCGCATGGGGCTGGGGGTATAGCTCAGAGGCATAAGTGCCTGCCTGGCAGGCACAAGGTTGTGAGTTTGATCCCCGGCACCGAAAACAAAAAGAAACAAAACTCTCATAGGAGATACTACTGTTATCCCATTTTCTAGACAAGGACACTAAGTTTGGAGAGATTAGATAAAGTAGGGCTCTGAGGTTAAGCAGCCTGGTTGCAGGATTTGTTTTGTAACTACCTCCCTGTGTTGCTCCCCAGACTCAAAATCCCATCTATTTCTTTTGGTCTTTTCTGTGTCGCAAGCACTGATTCCAAAGCAGCTGGATTCATTCAAGATTAAATCATGGTGCGAGCAAATCAGTGAGGCCCTTTAACAGATTCTAACAAAACTCAGAATCAACTGGCCAATTATGACATTACTTATTTACTTGCTATCCCTATAATAACGACTCCCTGAAGCAACTGCATGCTACACTCTGTCAATTGTTATTTTGGTATTCTTTCATTTATTGACACACCTGGCAGCCACAGTTTATTCAGAGTGACAGTAAGTACTACCTGACTTTTCTCTTTTGTGACAGAGCATCAATATTGATCTCTTCCCCAGCTCAACACTCTTAATGTGATTGAGTATTCACTGCTAGTCTTGACTGAAGGTATGATAAATGATAATAACATTCATCAAATTCTAAAGAAGTCACAAATTCTGGAAAAGATATTGAACTTCAAAGACATTATTTTGAAGGTTCTTTCCTTCCCTTGAACTGTATCCCCAGTGTCAGTCTTTCCCCGACACTGTTACCTTCTTCTGGTTTCGGCTGAGGAAGAGGAGGGCTGTGTTATATTTATTCCTGAGCAATCTATCTGCCAGCTAACTGCTCACCCAGATTGTGTATATCCCTCCAGCTGTTTTTGCTCTTAGGGGCCACAGGTTAGTGACTGAGGAGTCTACCTCAGACTCCTAGGCTCTGATGAAACCTTCTGCTTACATAGCAGTAGAAAGATCAATAAGAACTGCATCTTGTTTTTAGTAACTAACACATCTTTGCTTGTCCACATCACCCTCAAAACTTAATGGCACATCAGAATTTATTGGAGGGTCAGACAAATATATTTAACTTGAATATTTGAAAGGAAAAACACCTTTATATATGTGAATTGATTTTTAAGTCATCTATCAAAACACATTTGCTTTATTATTTGGTCTTTGGGGTTCTTTGCTTTGCTACCCTTGTCCTCAGTGTTGGGAAGGATGGCAGACGATATACAAGTCTCCAAACAGTTATAAAGACACCCCTCTCCTCCAAGTTGGAATTGCTTTCAAGTCTCCCCCATCAGCAGAGAATTCATGAAAAACAAATGTATTCAGCAATGTATTTTTCTTAGCACCTCAATTATTTAATCCCATCTAACTTCTGAGCTGGGAAAAATGTTCTAGATAGACCAGAAGGCTCTGAAGTTGAGAGGAATCAATAATTTTCCTAATCTAGAAATATCTGTTGAATCAGAACACAATTCTTCCAAAGAGAGTGCTCATTGATACAGGAAATAGTCTAGATTGCTATTTTCAAAAAGTGCTGTCCTAACTGCAGCATAAGCTATACAGGCCCCACATCCAATAGCATAAGGTTTTATTTAAAAGAAGAATGTCAGTTCCATCATTCCCTCTTTGCAGCTTTTGGGCAGTTTTTTGTTTTTTGTTTTTTTAAGGGCACAACTGTAGAATCATTCATCCATTGGTGCCTAGGAAAGAAGCGCTGACATTTTCCACATTATGCCTGTTTGCAGGTGGCTGCTCCTGTCTGTATGCCTTCTCACAGATGAATGGTGAACACCCAGGATGGATAGAAGAAGGGTGGTGCATTCTGCTACACGGAGAAACAAAGCTGGTGTAGTGTGTCCTCGTGGTGTACCAAGGATGCATGCTTTGGTTTATTTTAAAGGATTGGGTTTTTTTTGTTTATTTTCTGATATGTTGATAATATTCTTAAATATCTCAAATGCTGTAGTTCCTCAGATTTGCAAATGCTATAGAATTAAGATAAATTTTCAAGATACCATTTTCTATACATAATTGCTTCTCTGAAATTCAAGTTAAATTATGTTTTCTTCAAGAAATATTTTCCTTACATCAGTGCTAAACTGGTAGATATGGTCAAAAACACAGAAGGATGTTGTACCTGAAGTGCATCTCTCTTTCCTTCATGAATAATCTCTGTAGTCTCTTCATCTGTCTAATATTCATCTCTCTGAGTTCACGTACATTTTTAACTTCCACAGCTATTACTATGCTGAAAACTTCCTGTTGAGAATGGTACTGATATATATTCAATTTATAATGAGTGACAGTTTTGGAGATAATTAGAAATTATCTGCATATTTAGGAAGAATTGAGATTTATAAGCAAACAACCCTCTTACTTACCAAAAAAGGAGGAAGAGAATTCAGGGTGGAAGACAAGGTCTCCACAATTTGATTGAAGCAAATGGTCTACTTAACAGGTAGGATTATGGGGAAGCTCCTTGAAGGCAGGAATCATTCTTTATTTTGTTCTAAGCACCTAGAATAGTCTAAGCACCTAGAATAGTCCTGGCACAGAGTTGGTTAATAACATATATTTGTTGAATAATTTAATAATTAATTAATAAATTAAAGGCCCATATTTTTATTTTATATGGAGGAAGTGAAATTGAAATGATTTGCTATTCAGCTTCTTTATTAAAGAGTAAGGCCTCATTTGCAGAACTGCCTGTTGTATTGTCTAGGTCATTGTCCTTCCTCTGCCCCCATCTGCAATGAGCAACATGTATCTCCAGGCTGGAGGTAAGACCCTAAGGTAGAAGAAGGGGTGACTGTAAGCTTAGGCAGATTGTGGGCTTGGAGTTTTGATTTAGAGACTTAACAATCCTTTAATGTTTTGAACTTTTGATGTTTTTAATTCAACATTCATTAAATAATGATTCCACTCTCGCTGGTGTAAAAAAGGTTTTGGCCCTGAAAATATAGCAATGATTTACACTGACATTCTTCTTCCATTCAGTTGGGGTTAGGAAACAAAGATAAAGATTGATGAACTGATGTATTAGCTGATTCCAGGGAGTGATAAATGCCAGAAAGTAAATTTTAGGTGGAAATAAAAGATTGATGAATTGATTTATTAGCTTATTCCAGGGAGTGATAAATGCCAGAAAGTAAACTGTAGGTGGAATATGCTGACTATGTGCAGGAGAACGAGGAGTGGACAGCACACAGACTAGCAGGAGAAGTTACCAGCTTTGTGAGGAGGTAAAGCAGGAGCTGGGATCCCAATAGCAAGATGCCATCAGTCCTACAAATGGGCACCATTTTCCACGTGGAGAGCAGGCAAACACCAATGATCCCACAGGGAAACAATCCTAGCCAGTTTAAGAGGACAGCAGACCAGGGGGGATGAGGATGAGGAAGGACAGCAGCTCTGGATATGTTGTATTGCAGTTCACTGCAAAACCATTCCATGTTTTAAAGCAGGTTAGGAACACAGTCAGATATCTTTAAAATTCTGTTAATTTGTTTTGCTTTGTTTTGTTTTGTTTGTAGCGTATCTTCTGCCCTTAAAATATTTAAGATCTAGAGAGATAAAGAGAAGAAACAACAGCTCAAGAGAGAAGATGAGAAAATGTAACACTAGAGCAAGTTCCTTATAGTTACAACTCCTAAGACTTACCAAAAGTGCTTGCTTAAAATACAGATTCTGATTTTGGAAACCTTAAACAGAACCAAAAAGTAATATTTTACGTGTAAGTGATTGAGATGTAAATGGATAAGCTATTATTTTAGTTCAAGAACTGCTTCAAGCTGAAATGAAAAGATTTAAGAGTCTTCTAGATCAGCCAACCCTGCTTACAAGTAGAGGAAAATCACAGGAAAGAATTGTACTTTGTCTGGAAAATAGCTACTTCCTGCCTTTGCCAAGAATTGAATCTTTGAGAAAAACAAATTTTCAGAACTTTCTTTAAAAGAAGCAAGAGCATAAAGAATATAGACTTGATAGAAGTCACAATATCCAGCACATTTATTCGATGATTCAGTTTCTTAACTTACCCACACCCTCCATGCTCCAATTCTTGTTCCAGTTCTCTCCTGTTATGATTATAGATGTCTTTGCCCATGAAAGCCTTGCTTCTTCTTGACTCACAGCAAGTCTCACCACTCATGGTTACAAGTGTCTGTTTTTCACTTTCCATTTCTGGGTAACACACACAAAGCTACTGTGGATAGCAAGCCTCAGCTTCTCTCTATCTCTCCATTTAGAGGCAATGCTCTACCTAACTCTTCTGAGTTCTTGTGCAATTGCAGGCAGGAAGAAAAAGGAAAAGTAGAAGGAGGAGGAGGGAGAAGAAAGGGAAGGGGAGGAATAGAAGGAGGGGGAGGAGGGGAAAGGGGAAGGGGAAGGAGAAGGGGGAGGAGGGGAGAGGAGAGGAGGAGGCCGTTTTGCCCACATAGTTAAGGATCTCAGACAGAAATTCAAACTCAGCTCTTGGCTCCCAAGAAAATAGGGAATTTTGGGCTCAAGGCTCATGGCAGAATTCCAAACTCCGAGTATACAGTTTCAAGTAGAGTTTGTGTAATATTTTTCTTTCCATGGTAATGAAGATGTCCTTGTTTTAACATTCACATTTACATCTACCAAGCATCCAGAATTGACTTTTGAGTATGCTCAGAGGAAGAGATCAATTAGTCAATTCACCCAGCACTATTGATTGAATACAAAAAAGTCCTTTCTCCACTGTACTTTTACCATTATCACATAGAACCAGTCATTATCATCATCATTTCTTTATAATTTGTCTTCTCCACTAAACCAGGAGCATAAGACTTTCATTTAGCATTTTTCTGTGTACCTAATACAGCTGCCTGTCAAAAGTACATATTCAGTAAATGTTTACCTATGCCATATCAATCTAAAATATGGGCAGTGTTCTTGCAGAAAGCACCCAATCTTTTTCAAAATTCAAGTATCCTGTCTTAGTATATTAAGAAAATTTTAAGAATTTCCTTCTTCTTCCCTTCTTTCCTCTGTTTGTCTAATGATAGGATGAAAATCCTGCCTTACTGGAGACAGCCCAGCTGCAGTACCCAAAGATGCAGAGGGCTCTGCAGGATCTACTGCCCATAAATCTACCTTACCATGTTTTCTGGTCTTTGTGAGACTAGAATTGCTTGCTTCCTTCGTCTTGTCACTGGGACAAGATTTATGGCTAAGATTTATAGTTAAGCCAAGCCCTTATGCCAAGAGAATTACTTTCAAGAAAGCGTAAGTTTTCTCCTGTGTGACAGACACAGCACATGTCAAGATACTTCTTTTTCTTATGTTACTCTACCTTTTGTTACAACAGTGTCTCAACTATGAACTAATGTAGGTTGAGAAAAAAAATATACATTTTTGCTTTTTACCTCCTTTTATAGCACATTTATCCAGGAAAATGGGAAAATTAATTTATATATTTTAGAAATACATAGTTGGTATATCCTCTCATAATACTTCAGTGTATAAGAAATTAGACAATAAGTTTTTGAAGACATAAATTTTGATTTTTTTTAGCTATGTGCTATTCCTGGTCTTAATACATAAAATAAATAATTGGCAATGAGTGATTTATAACACATTACGTTTGATGCTTACACAGCAGAGTGTCTCTGCCAAGTATAAACTTGGACTCAAGATCTGAATATTTGATAAACTGAAAGTCTGGCCCATTTGTGTAAATCAAGGAGCACTGAGCTTTTGTTCGGAGCTTAAATAGAAAAGAGACATCAGAGAAGATGTTATGGCTTGTGTCTGGATTTCCCCTCAAATCCTCATGCAGTCAAGCGGCGGGTTTCTAGAGTTTTTGATTTATTCATGGTGCAATGCTGGGATTATGGGTGTGAGTGCTACACCTGCCTGGGGTGGATAGTTTGTATACAGTATAAGGGAGGGAAAGAGGATGCTTGCAGCCACTCCCCCACCTTGTGCTGTTGTTTTTGCTGTATTCTGCCACCATGAACTCTTGCTCTCTGCCATGCGCCACTCTGCCTTGGAGCCAGCCAAGTATGGAGTGAAACTTCCACACACTGTGAGTTAATAAACCTTTCCTTCCTTAATTCTAGGTGTCAGGTATTTTTTCTCAGCATTGAGAGAAAAGTAACTAAGACAGAAGAAAAATGAAGGGGTCCGAGCTGGCTGAGAAAGGGATGGATTGAAGTTATTTCTCTTGCTTGAGGAACTAGATCCCAGACTTGATGGTGAGAGCAGTTCGGAGATGAGTTCCTAAGAGGCATAGATGTGTGGAGACAATCCATGCCACTCCGGGACCAGGTGAACATTTCTTCCCAGCCTCATCATTGGCCCCTGAGGGCTTTGCCAGTCTTCAGGTTCAGAGAAGCCTCACAGAGATTTCTATATAAAAAACAAACCTTGGCAGCAGAGGTCCTGGTGATGCAACTGACATCGTGTGACATCCTAGAAACCTCTAAGGATGGCTCTGCCAGAGGTGGAAGAAGTCCCTCACTGTTAAAGACAGAGGCTAAGTCACCATATTTGGACACTAATGTTCCTATCTGTGATTTTAACAGGCTGAGTAGATCCAGGGAGATTCTATAACACACAAGTAACAAGTGGCCATAAGTAAAAGTAGCAAATATTGAAATTCTAATCACTCTCAAATTCTTTACATGTAAAAAATTACATGTAACTATAACATTACATTTTACAGTTAAAACATTTAAACTTTTTCCTAATCTTGCCAAGCTTTACTAGCAATAAATTTAGTTCTGTTTGCCTATCTACTTTTCAATATAGACACTGGAAACATTTCAGAGGTGTTGGTTTTTAACGTCATTTGAATTTTCATTTAGAGTTATTTTGCCTGTTTATTTAAAAGAAAATATCATAGTCATATTTACATTCCTCTTATTAGTGCAGAACATTGTGCCTCTAATTCTCTTTGAGGTATTTTCTGTAGAAAGAAAAAGTTTACTTCATATAAGTCCTGTGTCTCTTGAAAGGCTATTTCTAACTTACCTTATGTATTTTGCCAATATTGTGAATGAAATTTTCTATTTATTTATTTTTGTATTTTCTAAATTAAAGTTGTGGGAATAATATATTTGTTGTTAAATGTTCTTCCTACATGCCATTTTACTGCAATATTTTTAGCTTAGTTTTATGTATTTTCCAGTTACATCTTCATATTTGCAAATAATAATAATAGTAATGTCATGTTCACTTTTCTGAACCTATGAACTTACTTCTCCTTAAACTTTATCACATTAATCATAAGTAACATAACATAGATAGATTATGACGTTACTATAAGCAGAACCATCTATTTTAAAGGCCCCCAATGTGGCAAAATGGAAATTACTTAGATGTTTCCTAGTTCCCTTATAATGAATTAAAGACAAGAGGTGAAATAATCCTCAGGGAAGGAGGTGGTACAAAGAATAGTCATATTTATGAATCTACAATGGAAAACAGAGAGGGAAGATATAGAAGGAAACGTGGTCCCATGACAAAAGCACTGGGGAACACTCTAGATCATTTTGGGAAGCCATATCCTGGGAGAAAATGTAAAAAGTGAATTAAATGTTAGATACAGTGTCACGGAAAGGGTCAGTATAAAAGCAAAGAGCCAGGAGCTAAGAAAGACAGAGTGAAGCACAGAAAATAAATTTTGTTTCCCTCACAATTTCACTTGGAATCAAGCCTGAAAACGTAATACATATTATATAGCCCTAATTTTCAGTGTTAACCAGAGCAATGAATCCACATATTTGGTGTCTGTATTTCTATTTGGAAAGAAAAGAAAAATTTGATTGTCACCATATCAGGCATAATCAATTTAATTCATTATGGGAATGGAAGGGATTTTTTTTTCCTGAGGAGTTTATGGTAAGAACTAAGATGAGTTATTAGAGTAGACACAATAAATAATTGGAGAGAGATGGACCAAGGATTTTCAGAGGGAGACCTTGAATTCTTCACATAAAATCAGTGCATTAGCAGAATCTACTGGAAGTGAAGAGTTCATTAGGACTGACTAGCCACACGGTCACTCAGAGAAATCAGACTTGCAGGTATAAGCAGTACCCATAGTTCAGAGTAAATTTAGTTTGTTCTGATGCAGGAAAGGAAAGCTCCAGAAATTCAGAAATATTCTTCCAGCCCATGGTGGAAAAAAATGTTCTTTCTTACTCAGATGTTTCTCTTTCAGAAAATCAAATTTTAGAGGGCAGAGGTTAGTGTAACTGGAGGAATGGATAGTAACAATACAGCTTTGGGAGCAAAATGTCAGCCTGAACTGTGTCCCACCATCTTGCATTAATAATTTAAGTAAAACCCTGAAGTTCTGCAAACCCTAGTGAACTCATAAGTAAAATAAAACTATCTATCTAGTAGGATATTGGAAAATTAATAGAAGAAATACATGTAAATTCCATGACCTAACACCTGACACCTGACACTTTCTAAAGGAAATTTATGATGTCGGTTTTCCCTTATTGATATTAATATATCATTTTGAAATATGTTATTACTTTAGCTCTCATTCCCTTTAGATCTTTATCAAAATCTCCCCTCTTTTGCCAGAAGTGACCATTGCCTGAGAGAACACAGGATGGAAGTGTAAGCAAAAACACTATTATCTGTTTCTGGGCTTCCAAAATAGGCACTTAAAATTCACCTCTAGGACAGTAGCCCTGAAATCCTAGCTTTCGATGGTAATTACTTACTGGACCATACTACTGAAACAGGTGCTCAAAACCCTAAAAACTTCCTTTAAATATCAAGAAAAAAAGTTCAGAGGGCTCTTACTGTCCTACCAGCATGGGCTGGGAAACACTGAGGACAGAGCACAAGTACATACCCTACAGCCCTACAGGGAGCACAGTGCAATACTTAGAACATACCTGCTGTACTCCAAGCATTTCACATGTGTTAACTCATCCATCTAACAACCTTTTGTACAGAGAAGAAAATTGAAGCTCAGAGAGGTTAAGCAACTAACCCAAGATTATACAGCTTGTAATTGATGGCGCTGGTATTTGAACCTTTATGATTTGGCCCCATTCTGTCCTTTTAATCATTATAGTACAGTACTAGAAAACCTAGCCCTGCGATTGGGAGGAAGTCCTTAGAGAGTATAGGCAGGAATGATACTTGTCTCCCATCTGAGATCCCAACTGTTGGAAGGGGTATGTTCTAACAAAATGCCAGTCATAGTTAGAAATTCCAAAACAGAGGACCGTATAAACATGTCTGCCATTGTAAAACGGTTCCACAATGAGCCAGTCCTTGG